CCCTCCACCCCCACCCCACTACCCCCTCCATTTTAACTTTTTGGCTATGGGTTTAATTAAGGACTGCTGCCATCCTGGGGCAATATCTTGTTACTTGGCCTATAGCAAGTGATACTGACTTCTAGGCACAGTCAGTCCCCAAGTCTAGCTGTAATTGTATTGGAAGTTTTCTCTGAATAACAACAGAATGTCACCTGGGAGGATGCCTGAACCAATCATGACTCAGGCCTGCCTAGATGTTTGGATGTCTGGAAATACTTTAAAAATGTCTTACACTTTGCCTCCCTGGTGTGAGAATGAGGAAAAACTTCAAGAGCATGGGTAACCAGTATGATGGCTAAACCACAGACAGAAAATGAAATTTATATCCGCCACTAATTTTACTTCATCTAGAAAAGGGGCATGCAACACTCGCTAATCTCTGCTACTACCTCTAGGGTTAAATTCAGATTGGTCTTACAATGACTTATATAATTTTCTTTTACTAGAAAGTTTATTCTAATGACGTAGTTAGCACTTCTGAGTACAGGAATAATTTTAAATATAACATATGTAATTTTATAGTTTTAAAAAAATAACCAATGTCCCCAAGTTTCAAAATATTGAAATTCAAAACCCTATATTTTAGTGTTTTGACAAATTATAAGAAGAAAAAATTTAGCAAGACGATGAATAAAAACCTTTGAGAATTGAATATAAGCCTTATTACCTGATTAGCGCTTAGGTTCTTTTTCACAAAATAGATTACTATAATTGATCTGACTGTGTATGAGACTCCTGGTGTCCAAAAAATAATATCCCATGTCTTGGAAAAGAAATCATTTGTACACTGGCTTGTTAGAAATATTTTGCTATAGAAGCAGAAGCTGATGGCCATTACAGATTAATTAGTCTCAGCCCTTTAAAAGGACTTGTGTAGCTGGCTGTGTGGTTTCTTAATGCGTCTTACATGATTTTTCTTCTGATTAACAATAATAAAAAAACAGGGCGAACAAAAACACTCATAGGCTGTTGGTTTGGGAAATAAACTTTTCTTGTCAGGCAAACACACTGCACTGTTAATTTTAAGAAATATGGTTTGTTTTTGTCTGTTCGTTTTTTCATATAAAATGCCAAGGCAGACACTCTCAGGAAGCTCCCAACCAGGATTAACTCTGTACTGCGAGAGCATCTTCCTCTACCAAGGACAGTTCCAGGGTGTTTTCATTAGCGCTGGTTTTCATCCTGAAGTTGAAAGAGCCGTAGAGTTTTGCAGACTCTTTGGAAGAGGCAAACCTGTTGCGACGATACAGCTCTCCCTTCCACATGGACATCATTAGCAAACAGGACAGAACGACGCCCCCAAGCGTAAGCAGGCAGAGTCCGGCAATCACGCATCTGTCCAGGTGCGCCCCCAGCCTTGCGCTCTCCTTCTCCAGGCGTTCCATCTCCCTGGCCGCCACGGTGTTGGGATCCACAGTCACTTCCCGTGGGACAAGGTAAGAGATGATCACCAGCAAGATGCCAGTGACCAAGAACAAGATGGCGCTGATGAAACCATAGTCCACGGACTTCCCTGCAGATGTGGCTTCCGAACTTGTATCATCTTCATCTTCAGATATCAAGGATATGGCAGCCTCGTGGGACAAGTCATCTGGATTTCCCCAGTCAAGGTCTCCCAGGTGATTATTACTCCCTTTTGAGGAAGGGGAGCTCCGGTTCCTCTGCTCCAAGTTAACATTCTCGTCCACATAGGTAAAAGAAGTTTCTAATTCCTGGCTGCAGCAATTGCAGACCTGCCGTTCTGCTGTTATTTGGAGGTTCCCTGAGTTGAGAGGTCCTGGTGGGAAGGAGTCTGGCTGAATATCACTGTCTTGCAGAGAGGAGGAGGGGGATGTTAGAAAAGGGTTACATTTAGACCCTTCCATCTCGGCTGCTCTTGGTGCCCATGTGCAGTGTCTCTGGCAGCAGAGAGAAGCTTTGGTGGCCGCTGCATCTGCCTGGTCCGCGGGAGGCCCCCTGGGACTCCAGTCCACAGCATCGCACAGGCCTACCTGGCTGCTCTTCTTTGCAATGTAGTGGAGCTCCATCTAGTCACACATCCCCCAGCGGCTTCCAGAAATGTTGCCAATAGCAGCCCAGTTAGAAAAGCATCCAGCAGGAGCTAAGGCTGCACCGCCAGCAGTGCTGCTTCGGAGGCCCCCATGGCCTCTGTAGACACGGCTGTTGACACTTCGGCCCTAGGTCCTCCTATAAAAGGGCAAAGGAAAGGAAAGGATACCTAGCGTCAGGAAAGCGGGAAAAGGGCAAAGCCTCCGACTTATCGCAGGAAGCAACACTAGGAACCGTAGGTCAGGGTAGAGAAGGAGCACGGAGGAGGTGGCAGTGTCTCTGAAGAAAGCATCGCCGTCACCAAGCCAAATTTATCCAAGGACTCACACATTCCTGTGACAGGAGCCCTCAAGGAGGAGACAGGTTTCCTGTACAGAGATACAAACGAGAAAGGCAGGGGCCTTTTTTAGCAGAGCCTTAGGTTTTTCTGGAGAAGCTAGGGAAGCACAAATTTAACAATTCGGTGAAATTGTGTTTATACTCTATTTAGCTCAGGACAGTTTCTATATACAGATTAGCTTTAGGGCATCACCATGGGTGAACGGATATGTCCCAATCAGCTGGACTCTACCAGAGCTGGAGCTCAGCATTTTGACTGGGAAGCTCAGAAGAAGGTAAAAAGATGGCATGCTTAGTCAGCCACCTCTCCTAACCTTACCCTGCATATATCCAGTGACCCTAGTCACAGTATTTACAAGACCCTGTGCTTGTTCATCATGTTTCCATTTTTAGCCCATCCCCTTGTTGCTACATGATGACAGCATGTTCTGGACCTGGAAGGATATAGATGACACGCCTCATTGTGTGATCCCTGCAAATACCGTATTTTGTCGTGTATAATGTGCTCCCGCACATAATATGCACCCGCTCTTTTGACCCGAACTTTCAGGGAAAAAAAAAATCTTTCATTTTAATTTTTTTAATTCAATTTTTTATTTGTTTACATTTAGGTACTTGTTTTTTTTTGTATTATAAAGGAATTGTAGCATTTATTTTTTAACATGTTATGGTACAAGAAATTTTATGTAACAAATAATTACAAAACGTAAGAACAGATACAAGGTACAAGAAATCTTATGTACCGCTCACAAATTTTTGATATTTACGCATCATAGAAGGCCAAGAACTCTTCATTGTTGCAAGTTTGTCGTAAGTTCAGCAAAACCAATTACTGTATTCCAGGGTATTATTTTGCATACGGATATTGTTATTGATTTCTAGTGACACTTTTAATGCATAAGCATAAATAAAAGAATTAGAAACATTTATATAGATACCAAATTAGTACTGCCCATGTATAATGTACACCCTTATTTTTCCCTCACAAATTTGGGCACAAAAGTGTGCATTATACATGGCAAAATACGATACTATGGGTCAGCCCACTCCCACACACACACACACACAGAGCTGCCTGCTCCAGGTACACAGCTCAGCTACTCCTGCTAACTGGGTCTGCATGGGTCTGAGTTCCTCTCCCTCTGCACACTTCATTAGCACATGAGCACAGAAAATTGACATCCAGACGTTTTTACAAAGCCAATTTAGAAGTAAACTGACAATAAAAGACAAATCAGAAACCCACAGAGTTACAGTTCTGTTGAGGCAAATAGGTGAGAAGCTATTTCAAGGGTTATCTCTGGATCTCTGTATCCATGACGCTCCACCCTCACGGCAGAAAAGGACCTTCCTGGGGTAGAACTTTTAAGTTGAGCAGAAAACCACCTGCCCGTCTTTCTCTGCCTCTGACATCTTTCTGAGGAATACAAAATTCACTTTCCACTATCACCAAGAGCAGAGGTTCCAAACAAGGGCTCCCTTTATTTTAAGCCATGGTTTAGGGTTTATTATGATTCAAAATCCACAGCTTCAACAGCTGGTAACTCACACAGAAGCACAGGTAAAGCTCATCTAAGGTCGACCTGGTAACTCACTTAAAATATGGGAGAGGAAATCCACGTTTTCTGCTCTACATTAGAGTTTCCTTTTTTAAACCTACTTTTCTCCTATTATTGGAGTGTCTCTGCCGCTAAAACAGAAAACAAACACACTTAAAAAAAAAAACAACTTAAGAAACAAAACAAAACAAACAAACAAAAAAACACCAAGCGCAGGAAAACCACAACTGAACGAAAGCTTTCGCTTAGCAAGTGGAACAGACTCTTACTGCAGGTTCCCTCAATGAACGAATCGATGGTAACGGGTTTGATCGATTACTGAAATGAGGAATCATCTCGCTGGTTCCTTAGACATTAGGCACTCTGATTAACCGTTAACACAATTAATTAATCACACTGGGCTCCTCTGGATAAGATCGGCAGAGACCCTTATGGAACTTCCAATTTATAACAAAGAGGGAGAGAAATCCCCACTTCATTCCCTTCTCCTCCGTCTATCGTTTCTTTAAAGAAAAACTCCGCTTGTTCCATAGGCGATATACTAGCTGCACAGGCGATTTCCTTTGCAGCTCTGTGATTCGAGGCTTCCTTCCTTACGTGGAGAATAATCCCAGGGGACCAGCGAAAGGCTCGGTCCTTCCGTCCCTTCCCTCTCTTCTCTCAGGTTGGTTTAAGAGGACAGTTAATAAAACTGTACCTCAAAGCGCGGGGGAAAGCACTTTCTCCTTCCGTCTGCCATCAATTAAAAGCATTCATATCTGCACTGGAACTAACTGACGCGAGCGAGGCTGGTCTGAAGGAGGCGACCGCAGGATCCGTCCTGCGCGCGCTGTGCGGGGAGGGCGCGCGGCGAGCACCGGGCAGCAGTGTCCCCCGCGATATCAATCCATTCATTCTGGGTGAACTCCGTGCCGCTAGAGGCACCCGGAGTCGGGCTGCGTTCCCTGAGCACCCTGAAGCTAGGCAGGCACCATGGGCAGGGAGTAGGAGCGCGCTCCCCTGCTCCGCCAGGCTCCCGGGTCGCTACCTCGCCTAGGCGCCGCCTCCCCGTCTCGCTCTCCGCCACTCACCTTGCCTACCCAGTGTGTCTGAAGCACCACGCGCGAGTCCCTGCAGGGCTCCTCGGGAAAGTCCCCGATCACCGATCACCGCCGTGGCACTTGTAGCCCCGGTGTGCCTCTGAGCTCCGCGCGCGGCGTGCAGCACCCTCTGCGCCCGCTGGGCGGGGCGGGGCGGGGCGGGGCACTCCCTCTTGCTGAGCATCCCGGGAGATGTAGTCCGGGGTGGGGGGGTGGGGTCCCCCTGTCTCCCTCTCACCTCCTCCCTATTGCCCTTCCTCTATACCTCCATGCTTCTGCCTGGCACTTTAGAAGAAAGCGCTGGCTTCTAAGCCTGGACTCGAAGCGAAGGTTCCCCCAGCCTGATGTATATCCACAGGATTATGGAGGAAGCGGTGTATATTTAGTTCCAACTGTGTGCCAGGCAATATGCATATTTTATATTTTTTAGAGTAAATCTTCTAAGAAGGTTTTATTAATCTTTATTTACAGGCGAGGAAAGAGGCTCAGAGGAATTACGTAGCCTCATGCAAGGTTGCAAAGACAAAAAATGGTAGCTGATAAATTGTATCCAGGCGTCTGTTTCTAGTCATTGTCTTGTCCACAAAATCAGGAGAAATGTGACTATTGAGGGTAGTAAGGGATTGTCCTATTCACTTATGCATCCCCTGCGCCTACCACAGTGTCTGGTATCTGTTGAATTCTGAACAATAATGATGCAAAATAACAACAATTAACATAAGGAGCACTTATTGCCAGACTCTCCTAATCACTTTAGATACAGGTATCCCCCACTTTTTTTTTTAGATTATTTATTTATTTATTTATTTATTTATTTTTTATTGGGGAATTGGAACAGCGCTGGGGAATTGGGGAAAGGGGAACAGACAAGTTGATGTCCTTTTGTTGTTCAGTCTAGTTGTGGAGGACATTGCTTCACTGGCCCAAGTTGGCACCATCATTGCGCTCTTCCCTGGCAAGGCAGATCAGTCGCCAGCTACTGGACGGCTGCTCACAGCGGCTGCTGGCCACACATGGTAGCCCATGGCAGCCCACTGCCACAGGGGCCGCAGCCTATGCCATCGCTGGCAACTCACAGCAGCCCAGCTCCAGGTTGAGCTGTTGTTCAGCATCTTAGCTGTAGAGGGCAGTGTCACTGGCCCTCATATGTGGGATCCGAACCGGGGCCCTCTGGCGTCCCAAGCCAGCTCTTAACCATCGCGCCACTCGGCCGGCCCATCCCCCACTTTTTGAAAGCTCATTTTATGCCACTTCGATTTTATGAAAGACCTACATTAGTACCTATTTTCACTAACTGAAAGAAATCCAAAGGCGATTCTTTTATGAAAAAAGGCAAAAAGCCAGAATAGTGATCAGAGTTTGTTTGCAGCAAGCTGTTACAGAGGCAGTGATTAGTGAAACTACACTGTACACAAATTATTTCTACTTTATATAGGCTGTATCTTTATCAAATCATTCCTTTTACTATGTTAGTGTTATTTTAGGTTTTATGTATTATTTGTTATAATTTGGTAGGCTATATTTTGGGGGTCTGGGAATGCTCAAAATTTTTCCCATATAGGGGCCAGCCAAGTGGCTCAGTTGGTTAAGAGCTCACTCAAGAGTGCGAGCTCTGAGCAACAGGGTCACTGGATTGATTCCCGGCCTGAGCTGAGCTGCTGCTGAGCTGCCAACAGGTGGCAGGATGGCTCAGCTAAAAAAAAAAAAAAAATTTTCCCATATAAATGAATGGTAATTGCTTTTTCACTTTACACCATTTCAGCTTACAAAACGTTTCATAGGCATGCTCTACTTTTGGATAATGGGGTAGGGTGGGGGCCAGGGACTTGTACATTAGCTCATTTAATGGTTGCAATTAATTTTTAAAGTCCTGTAAAAACCCTCAGTTTTATAGAAGAGGAAACTGAATTACAAAGAAGCTGAGTAATTTGCCCAAAGTCATACAGCTCGTACTCACCAACGGTGGGGCATGAGCCGCAACACCTTCTAATCCTCATGAAAATTGAATGAATGGAAGAAAGACCAGAGGCAAGAAGAGACAGGGTTAGAAACAAAGGAGGTCTGGAGGTTGAAGCTACTGAGCTGTGACTCTCAGGATAGAACGAAGTAACTACTTTGAGTCACCAAACTCTTTCTAACCATAGTGGACTGCAGCAGCCAAAAGCCAAAACGAATGTGTGGTTTGTGTATCATCTCCAAGTTTTCAGCATCTCCTTTGGGGAGAGTCTAAGATTATTGATTGTTTTCATCTAGTGGGAACAAAAGAAGGGTTAGAATATTTATAACATTTAGCTGCTTGTGAGTAGCTCACATAAATTCTGTGGTTACTTGCTTTCAAGTGATAGATCAATCTCCTATAATGATAATTGTGTTGGTTTTTCTTTATACTGATAGAATCCATAGTTTCACAGTTTCAGGGACTTCACAATCCAGGCCCTTTAAAATCGTCTTTTTGTTTTTTTTTTTACCCTGGTGACTCCCTTCTGGTCAATTAGGTACATTTATTGATAAACATGTTTTGTTTTGTTTTCCTCCTTTACTCATTACACTGTTCTCCAGTGAGAATCTCCTTCCTCCATTTGCTTATTCTCTTCAACCTCCAAGGACTGTCTTATCAAGCCACGTTTGCAAGAGTTTATTCTGTTCTTGGTACTGTATATTAAAAAAAAATACAAAGATATCACAGGACGTCTAGAAGAAAGCACCTAAAAAGCTGAAGAAACTTGAACTCACATTAGACAAGGAGATGCTGAAGGATCTTGGGATAGTTAGCCAGAGAAGGAGACATAAAGGAAACAAAAACTAGCTTTAAAAAATTTGAAGTGTGTAAAATAGAAGAGGGATTCTATATCATAGCTAAAAAAGGTAAAAGCTGAACCAATGACAATAATAGTATTTACTAGTCCTAATGTGTTATCATTAGTTCCTACACCAGCTCTATTAGGAAGCCAGTGTTATTATACTCATTTTCCATTGTAGAAGCTGTGGATTGAAATGGTATCATCTCCTTCCCAAAGTATGAGAACTAATAACTAGCAGAGCCAAGATTCTAACTTGGGCCTGTCTGATTCCAGAACCTGGATGTTTTCACTATCACACTATACAGAGCAATGCTTCATAATTGTTTTCATAGCAAAGCATGCATAGGAAGTGATCATATTTATTGCACTGGGATAAACACAAGAGGTTTCTCGTGGTCATAGTGCTGGTGCTGTGGCTACCTCAGGCCAGGCAGGGCAGCTCGGAGGGCCAAGGGAATGAAAAAGCCAGCACATTTGTGACACACCGGAACACCTGAAGATGACCAACACAGGAAGCTCTGGATAGCACGGTCAGATTTAATAAAGAGGCTAACTTGGGGCCAAGTAGAAAGAAGAGCATTCTCTCTAAGAACTTAAAATAGGATGTGGCATGAAAGCAAATTCTGTATTGCTGGAGAGGAAAAAAAAATGAGCTATTTATTAGTGATTTCATAGAAGGGATTCATCTAGTTCAGGGGTCGGCAAACTGTGGCTTGTGAGCCACATGCGGCTCTTTGGGTATGGTCTGTCTCAAAAGTTTCCCGACCCCTGGAAGAGCCAATCCTGTCCCTCATTACAATTTAAAAATTATTCCAGAGCATAAATATATTTTTACCTAATCACCATTATGTGAATAATATCCTTTAAAAATTTTATAAGTGAAACTATGATAGTTTTATTTTCATTTTCAATTTTATTTCAGAGCCACATGTACATACCCAAAGAGCCACATGTGGCTCGCAAGCCGCAGTTTGCTGACCCCTGGCGACTCTTCCATCTCAAAAGTTTGCCGACCCCTGGTAGTTGGATTAGAGGGACTCTGTGGTCTCTCTGCAGAATGATTCTAAGTTACATCTTTTTCATGAAGCCCTTTTCCTCCAAACTGGCCCCCAAAGAGTCTGCCTCCAATGAACTTTGCTAGGACTTGTCAGCACTGATATTTTTTATATGTGTCCGCCACTGCCTTGTGACATTACTTGTATGTCTAGATGACTACTGCATATTGTGTAACTTCTCTCTTTGGTGTCTAAACATCTAATGGCAATTGTAAGCTCTTTAAGATCAGTGTCCATAAATTCAATGTCATATTACCTCCTGCAGGAAGTGCAGTGTTTCTTGAATAGTGTGAGGACAATGACAAGACTGAGATGAGACTGGAGATGGTTATCTATCCATGTTATTGTCTCTCATTTCCTATTTCTATATATAGTACATTTGACTGTTTATATATTCTTGAGCATCCCAAAAGTATCGACTCTGTGCCAACATACTACAAAATCTCCCTCAAAATCCTGCAGAAATAGAATAAATGTGGACAGGCTGAGCTCCTGGAATGAAAAGCTCTGCAAAAAACACCACTTGCTGAGATAACTTCACCTTTCTCTCCTATAAATCCATGTCTAAAACTTTCCTCAAAATCTGACCCAAGAACCTTTTCAAGAGCCTTTCTTGTTCAACACACCTAACATGGTATCACTCTTCCAATTGGCATTCTAATGGCATAATGTACTTCTTTTATACTGTCATTTTACATCTACAGAAGTAGTCCATGGATATTTTATACTGCTCTCTATGTGGTCTCTCTTCCAAGATAAAATTTAAGCTGCTTGAGAATCAACATATTCTTTCCACATCGTTAAAGCCGCACATGGGCATGAAACAGTAAAACATATAGGCAACAGTGGTTTCTCATTGTATGCTTATGAAATGATTGAAACTACTAAAATATTAAAGTCTAAGTAGTGATTTTTACCTTTCACAATTTTAATATGTTCCGTATTTCCTGTTTACTTGTACTCTGTGAAGTATGGGAGGAACAATCATCATTACAATAAATTCATCAGTGGAAAATAGATTCCGAGAAGTAAATTTATCGTGTGGATCAAAGGTAGTCCAGGGACTTTTAACAATCAGTCTTATAACGATGACTGAGGATACTTTCCAGTTTTCTCTCTGCAGCAATAATAATAAGGACTGATTGTAAATAAATTTCTTAGTGGATTTAGAGTTACCAGGAGAGGCTACATTGTAAGGAGGTAAGAAAGACGTTCTAAGAATTGGCAGGATAGAGGCTCAGTCATTT